CTGAAGGGCCTCCGGAGTTATGTAGCTTGTTCTTCAATGAAGGGCTAATATGCAGCTTGATCTTCAAAGAAGGGCTTCCGGTGTTCAAATGGCGTATTCCTTAGCGCATATACGCGTATATAACTGCGGGCGTGTTCCAGATGATATCCTGCGAGATTTCGGCCAGAGCTTCGATGTGCAGATTTCCAGAGCTCTTCTTTGAAAATGAGCCCACTATATATAGTGGTGAGGGTGAGGGAAAATCTCCAACCAACTCTTAATTCCTTATTTAATTTAATTTCTTTAATTAAATTAAGGAATGTATCGGGACACTATTATGTCCAGGTTCATGATTTCATTAAATTTCCAAATAATATCAAATATTCAAATTTCTCAAAATTATATAATCCACATATAATTTTAGTGGGCCACGACCAAGTCAGACCCGCTAATTAGCAACCAATTACTCCAAGCAGCCCGGTCCAACTCACTTAAATATTTCATCATTTCGGGCTGAACAATCCAACATCCAATTACATTTAATTAAGCAATTAAACCAATTAAATATTTAATGGGCCATTTAATTAACCCAATTAAATAAATATTAGTCCAATTTAACTTAATTAAAGTAATTAATTTAATGATCAATTACCCGTCACGGTCCAACGATATTATTTAAATTTTCCAATGCCTACAAATTGCCCCTTCGAGACTTACTTGACGTGCCTTAAATGCAGAGGGAAGGTAGTCTCGAAATTAACCGTAGTAATCCAAGAGTCCATATTTGGGATGACAGACTTGCAGACTATAATTTGACCGCAAAATTCCTCAACTTATGCCCAGGCAACCGTCTAACCAAAAATGTACTTCAAAATTTGAAAGCACGCTTATAACTTTCGTCGAATTTTTTCCTTTTAATTTAGGCCAACATTAATAATCCATTTTCCAACCGTACTTTAATTAAGTTCCATGTACATAGATTTCCAAAATGGAGTCAGCATCCCTGTTAATCCAAAGTACTTCACAGTTTAATAAAATAAAATTGGTCCACAAAACTTGCTTTAACGGATTATACTCCTGCAAACCATATTAATCCTTTTTCCCATTCCACACATAATTAACCACAACATCATAAGCTGATAAGGATTAAGTAACAGAATTAGAATCCCAACCTACTCAAAATCCTCATCCCATGACTATAAATAATGTAACTGTTAATCATTTTTTCCAATCCAAGAACAGAGCTGTAGTTAATTTCACCGAGCTTCAATCTTCATCCAAGCTGCAATCTCTTTCATAAGGTAATTTTTGTTCACTATACTATCTTCTTGATTTTTTTATTTTGCCAGGGGAAATAAAGGAAACAAAATACGTGAGGCATTGGGTAAAAACACCCGAAAATTAATTTTTCCGGGCTTGTTTTTTTTTACCTTTGCTTGGGTCACCATCTTCACCAACAGTGGTCTAGAACTCTTGGAAATTAATTTTTCCGGAATGACCACCACTGTTTGGGCTCTTGGGAATTTTCTTGGAATATCTTCCACCACTACTTGGAATCTCGCTATTGCTGCTCCAGTGCCTCTCCATTCTCACTGTACTTGGTGATGAAGAAGAAATGAGATCGAAAGGCTGCTGGAATTGGAAGGCTCATGCTCTGCTTTTGGTGTATTCCAGGAGCTTGCCGGTGCATTATAGAACCGTCGCCGGAGGACCAATTGTTTGAACCAACCGCCGACGAGCTTGTCAGAGGAGAAAGCTTGCTAAGGCTTCGCTGTGTTCGTCGACAGAGGTATGGCGAGAGCCTTTGCTTTAATTTATCCCTTGCTTTGCATTTAAATAGAGAACACATAGAGCCATGCGCCATTACTCTTCCCCATGTCTGCTTGCGTGTGGGTATAGGTTTCTTGAGGGCAACTTTGAACTACAATCCACAGTTCTATTTGCTTTGTCTTTTCCCATCCCATCACACTTTGCTTTGTCACTTTTCCCATCACACTTTCCCATCGGCCCTTTTTTATCTATTTCGCATGTGTTAGCGTATATACACGCGTCCATCTTCTGCTTCATGACTGCGTGAATGTACACATACGTATATAATAACATGTGTGTAATGCACTAACATTGTTTGTGCCGTGCGTATAACATACATAACATATATTTGCTTTTCGTAATATATTTTTGTTTTGCTTTCCATAATCCTCTCCTGCCAGCGTGAACATAGCCCTTTTGAGACTCCACTGTGCTTAGCTTGTGTTATTGTGTATATATAATACACTTAACCCATGTGGGCCACTGGTTTATAAGTAATATACATATATATGTTTACCTTGCATGCACTATATAGTGTAGGTACATATATATATAACATAGATGTGGCTCACTGACCCATGCATAATTTATATATAATATATTTGATGCATATGTTGTATGAGTATATGCACACATGCATATAATTCATATGATACGCATACAATACGTATGATATATATATATACGTAGTATGTGCATACATATATAATATGGCTTCCTTTTTCCTTTTTTTTTAACACTCCCCCTTGACGTGAATTCATATATATACATGTGTAACATATATATATGTTTCGCATTAAACCTTGCAAATCCGAGATATGTATGTACATAATATATTTTAGTAACGTACGTGCCCATATGCGCCCAATCCATGCTTGCTTCTTATACTTTGTGTGTACCACGTACATAATATATACGGAGTATATAATATATATACACATAGCATAATTGATGTTTGCTTGTGACTGCACATATATAACTTGTGTAGCATAGGCATTTTGCGACAATATATTTTTTGCATCGACCTCAAAATTGTCTTATACTTTTGGACTTGGCCTCTTGGTTCATAATGCAGATTCATACATCGCAAACTATTTTGAACAATGGTAGTGTTTGAGGACACCGTGGGAGCCGATCAGAAGAGGAGGCTCAAAGTATCAAGCGATGAGACCGGAAGAAAAAGCATGTTGTTCATCGTTTACCCACCAATGACGCCAAGAACCCTCCTTGCCCCGACACTGCCTTATCGGGTGGAGGAATGGACTCGTAACGCCGAACACCAGCCACCCAAAACATGGGTTCTAAAAACCGGGCTAGGTCATACGGAATACTTAGACCCACTCCCGACTCTAGGGCGACAGATCCTTAGGGGTGAGGCCTCATGGAACCAACATCCCAGCTTCAGAGGAGAGTTCAGCTTTACGATGGGATATTGGGAATGGACTGAGACTATACTCAGTATGCACCGTGAACTCCTGGAGGCCGTGACGATCTACGACGGCATATACGCCTCGTTGTTCACCTATGACCGCTCGACGCATATTGTCCAAGCGTTCTGCGAAGCGTGGAGCCCTATGACCAATACACTGCTTACATCACTTGGTGAGCTCTCAATCTCACTTTGGGATGTGCATGTGCTCTGCGGCCTGCTGATATCTGGCGACATCTATGATGAGTATGTCCCAACCGCCTCAGAGTTAAC